AGCACACCATCTACTAACCATAAGCTGCATAAAGGCAGGGACAATGCCTGTTGCATCCCTGTGCATAGGCGGTATGTAGAAGACATTTCAATTTTTGTGAATGATCTGGAATGGCTGATAGACTATGAGGAAGAAGAGGGGGGAATGAAGCAATCCCAGGAATTCTATCTCACCTACAGCATCTGGTTAGCCTAACATTAGTGCATTACTCCATCAAGAAATCACACTGGGGCCAGTGTGAAGAAATGGAGGAGCGTAAGCATGGACTGACCAGGCCAAGATTCAACCCACAAGCTCAAGAAAAGACCTGGTCTCCCCTCCTGCCACCCTCACTCCCCAACCTCCTCTAGATGCTTAGACTGCCTGCATTCCACACACCTGCAGTACTTTCCATTTGCATAACAAATTACAGCAAATTGTTTTGTTTGGTCTGCTTCCAGCACCCCAGGAGTCCGTCTTCCCAGGGAGATAGCACCAAAGAATAACTTCGATGTTAATCAACAGCCCTAATCAGACATTGAGAATCAACAGACATTTCAACAAAGCTGATGGCCTGGCCGCTTGTCAAGTGTGGGTTTTAAGTACTGATCCACATGGCTGTACAGTCTGCCATCAAGACTAGTTTTTCCCCTTTCTAAAGGAAAGGGTTGAAACATAGTTCACAGAAAATACATGAGGGTCAAAATAAGAATGCTGTGACTTCACAGATTGTGAGCTGGCTCTGATCTCACCAAAAGATAAAGATTAATGCAATTCCATACACGCCTGCCAAGCATTCAATCCCCACCCTGGCCTCCTGGCCATACTGCACTGGCCTTCACCTCCGCTGGGATGGCCTTCGCACCCACGTCATTTCCACTAGAACATCAGAGGAGCCTAGTGAGGGAGAACAGTGGTTATTGCTCCATCTCACAGATGTTGGAAACTGAGGCAGACGGAACAACCGAGTCCAAACCAAATAAGGAAGCATTCCTTTCGATTTTCAATTTGAAACACAAGACCTACCACTCAGTTTGTAATCCTCCTACCATAAGTTTGTGGGGGATATAGCAACTCCTTTGTTACTCCCTCCAAACTCCTCAGATAGCGGTGGGGCAGGCTCAGGGTTAAACCTCCAAAAGGGCTTCACTTGTGATTCTCTCTAAGCAGACATGGCATAAAATGATACATTTCTAAAAGGAACAGGCCCCTGGTCACCCACCAGGCTAGAGACATGACAAAGTGAAAAATTAATGAGCTTCCAAATCAAGCTTCCCACATGCTGATTTTCGAACCTAAGTGAGGTCAGCAGCAACAAGGTGGGGAAAGGAAGAGCAGCAGATTAGAGAGAGAAAGCCACTGCCACCAGCTGCTTGATGAACCTTCTGTGAGTTGCTCAGGCTTGTCAGTGCCCGCAGCAGGCTCTTTGGAGTGGACTGGCAAGATGGAATTAATTTTTAATGCTCACGGTTCCTCCAGTCCCAGCTCCAAAACAAAGAGACACACCGTGTTTTACTTAGCTTGGGATGCCTCTCATTAACTGCATCCCCTGGTGATTTTTCATCAGCTCACCAGGCTAGTTGAACCACTGATGGACTTGTTTTCTTTAATGTGCAATTTTAGGAAGTGTTTCTCTTCTTTCCCCCTCTCTCTCCTTAGCGATCTTTTAATAAGTAGGAAAACTGCTATCTGGGGTGAAAGGGAGCATGGTGATTAAGGAGCAGGCTCTTCTGTTATATTCCCTGAGACTGTGAAGAGGGGGTGGTGTGGCTGTTAATAAGACAGAATGGTATAGTTTTGTTTTTTTCTTTGCTGCATATGTGCAGAAGCAAAATTCCAGAAAACAAGGTTCTCTTGGACTGAGAAACAAGTTGTTATAGGTGAATCGACAGCAAATTCCAAATCTCAGAAACAAATTGCCTATATAAAATCTGGATTGTATTAGAGATGAATTTAGACAGTGAAGTCTTCTTCTAAAGGAGAATTGGTTAATGATTTAATTGTACTCTTTGGAACAGCTGTTAAACAGAGACACCCTGTGTGAAGTACTACCATGGCAATAGGCGCACTGCCAAATCTCTGTCTTTTGTGAAAAGTATTGGACATAACATTTCACAGATCATTTTGGTATTTGGACAGTAGTCTGAGCTAAACATAAAATTAAGCCACAGTGTAGGTATGAGGCTCTAAGGTAAGTCAGGCATTGGCCTCATAAACTCAGTCTTTCTCTCTCTCTCTCTGCTTCCTGTTTGATCTATCTGAGCATGAAGGAGAATTCCACCAGCAAATGTCCTTTCAGTCTAGTACTGGAAAGAGTAGCAGAAATCTACCATAAGCAGAGGGAGAGGTAGAAGTTGGGTCCCTTCACCAGGGAACTTGGGTCCCTGCATCCCTTCACCGTCCTGAAATTCAGCATGATCTCAGCTGTAAAGTGAAACACTGATCCACGAAGGTAATCTCTGTGGCTCCTCTATGGGCTTCAGTTTAGGTGAGAATTTAGTCCTGCAGGTTTAAATCCTGTTTCTGCTATTTACCACCTGGATGGCACACACCAGTTATTTAATCTACCTGAACCTCAGATTGCTCATCTGTAAAATCAAGATAAATAACTATCCCATAAAATTGTCACAAACATTAAGTTTGACAATGTACATAAAGCACTTAGCTAGAGCCTGACGTACACGTGTTCAATATTCATATTTCATTAGTGTAGTCTAAGAAACCCCATTGCTACCATCCACCTGCCTTCTTACTCTGTCAAAGCAGACTCTCTGGATGATTTGCTTGTCAATAACATAAACACACCCTCAAACAAGGCAATAACATAAACACACCCTCAAACAAGGCAAACACACATTCTTCCAACCTTGAAAGTACAGTTGTCTCGTGGTCCTGGACTTGGGCTGCCTACCACCTGTCCCCCAGAGTGTAATTCCAGGGAGTACAGACCCTCGTGTGCTTCAGACAGCAGAGATCTAAGGGCAGAAAGAGGAAATCCTTATAAGTCAAAAAACATGAATTCCCAGAGCTAGCAGCCCACTTGACCACTTCAAATGTCCTCCCTGCACTTGTGAAACAGAGCTGACCCATATTCCTGTATTTCCCTTTTCACCTCCTAGGTCCACTCACAATTACTAGTCTTTAAAGACTGGATCCTTCAGCAAAAGAAGTTATGATTCTTTGCTGTTGTTGAAAATCTCTGGAAGTTAAAAAAAACAAAAACTGTCCTGCTTCTCAGAATCATATGCTCATAAGACTTTAAGAACTGGAAGGGACTTTGATAGATAATCTATTCCTAGTTTCCATCTTACAAAATGACAATTCCAGATAGATTAAGAGACTTTAAAAAAAAAAAAAGAAAGCTTGATTTGATGTGTAAGCAACTAAGATGATTCTGAATAATAGAATGAAATTTAGTTAAAGTTAGTAAAAATTACCTACTTTTTAGCAACTGTGATTAAAAAAAGTGTATGTGAAATAAAATACAATTGTTTTAGTACAATGAACTTGGACTTAAAAGCACATAAAATTTTGTAAACTTCAAAAAAAAGAAAAAAAAAAGAGACTTTTGTGTATGAACACCAAAGGTTAAGAGCAAAGTGAAGCTCAAATCCTAGGTTTTTTCTAGTAAAAGGAATTGATCTTACTTGTTAACCAAAAACATTCGTGACTTCATAATCATCCAAACAGCCCATAAACATCTCACATAGCCATCAAGACAGAGAGAGTCTTGGACCTCCTCTCCTCTTTTCATGAAAACCACAGTGGCTTCGTTGCCATTTTGAGGCTGACATCCATGTTGACTTTTGTAAGAGGAGAAATATGGTGAATAAGAAAAAAGCTAGATTCAGGAAGTGCCTCCTCTCCAAACCTTCCCAACAAAATCTTTAGTATGACCTTAAATATTTAAATCTGTAGTGTTCATTGTGTTAGCCACTAGCCTTATGTGCTTATTGAACATTTGAAATGTGGGTAGTCCCAATTAAGATACACTATAAATGTAAAAAACACACTGGATTTTGAAAACTTGGTATGCAAGAAAAGGCTATAAAGCATCTCATTAATAATTTGTATAGATTACATATTGAAATGATAATACTTTTGATATATTGGGTTAAATAAAATATATAATTAAAATTAATTTCAATTGTTTCTTTTGGCTTTTTAATGTGGCTACTAGAAAATTTTTAATTATATTTGTGCTCACATATTTTAATTGAGCAGTGCTAAATTTTGAAGCCACAATGGCTGTTTTGAAGAAAGTAGTTATGTCTTTTTATGATAATAAGTATGATGGCATTTCATAGATGACAAACTATACAATTTTTCACACTAAAATGTTAATTGAATTTGATATTTATCCCCCAGTCAATGAGTATATTTAAGAGGGTAGTTTTTTTTTCTCAAAAAAATGACTTAAATGGTGCATCCTAAAATCATTAGTATGTTGGGAATGAGGGGAGAGAAGATATAAATCTTCAGAGCTTTGACTTATTTCATGGCAAGTCCTTGCAGAAATTCTATGCCCAAATATGCCATAAAGCTCAAGGAAAACATATAACTCAGTTTTTAAGCCAATAGTAGTGCTATAAGGAAGTTCAGTTCATCAGACACCTATTGAGCATCTTCTACTTGTAAGGTACTGGGCAATGTACCATAAGGACTACAGTGATGAGATTAAACACAACTCCTGCCCTTGAAGCACTTAATTCTGTGAGGATGACCCTAACGAGCAGGCGACTAACATAAGTGTCATGAGAAACACGGGGCTGAGGAAACAGGGTCACTGAGACTATACATGCTGTGCCTTTGTGTAAATTACAAAAGGTCTTTGCTTCAGGATGATGAACTGCACAGAAAAGTGTGTGTGCACACCCCCCTGTGGATGGATTACTGAAAGGTGTTCCTTCTTCCTGTTTCAAAGAAGGGAAAGGTTACACTCAGTTGTGTGTTCAAGGAAGAGGTGGCATTCGTAGTATGGTTGGTGGACTGAAATAGGCAAAAATGAAAGAAGGGGAGTCTTCATGAAAGAGGGAACAGAAAATGAAAGGAAATGTCAATGGTTTTATCTCTTAACCAATGATCCCCTTTCATGCAGCATCAGTAAGACATGAGTAGAAAAAGAACGAACTAGTGTAAACTTCATAGACCAACAAAAACTTGAGTCAAACAATAAGTTACCTGAAATCCTATACAAATTTTTTTTAAATAAAGATAATGCCAAACTCAGCAAACAAATTGATCCTAAGGTAAGCTTCTTTTCTAACCAGCTTTGAGTTTATGCACCATCTTTACAATTAATGCCTATTTCAAATAATGAGTACATTAGACTGAAAAACAGCACCATTTATTGAAATCTTAATAGGCATAGGACTGTTTGTTTAGAGTATGGTGTTATAACACCAAGATCAAGGGTTTGGATCCCCATACCAGCCAGCCACCAAAAATACAACAAAAAATAAAAATAAAATAAAATAAATATCCATGTGCCCCACTGATCAAAATAAGTGATTAAAGAAATGAACAAATAAGAGAGAATAATAGCCATAGGGCTGTTGTTAAAAAATAAATTGAAACACAATCCAGCCCCTACTTATAAATACCTCAAATTTCTTTCCCATATGCTCATTCTTCCTTAAGCAACAGAGTCCTGATAGGGACTTTTAAGTATATTTGCATGAGACATTTTCAAAAACTATAGCAAGTAATTGCAGTCACAGCAGGAGTTGCTCTAATACATCACCAAAAGCTACTGATGTAAGCAAAATTCACTCATTCTGTCTGGTCTTCCTATTGGGACAGATATACCTGGTCCGGCACGTCACCACAGGCAAATCCAAGAAGACAGGAGAGACATCACAGGGGACACTAGGCAGTGCAGGCACCATCACGTTCACCAGATGTATCTCCAGCTGAGACCCATTGGTGGGATAAAGGACATCTGACTCCAAACCTAAACACAAGGGAAAAGGGAAATCAGGCTAAGCAGGGTTGTAATCCACATAGGGTAATATAAAATGTGGCCACATGAGGGCAATGTAAGATGCTGAGTTTGCCTAAGGATTAAATTAACACTTATTTCCTCATAGCTGCTGTATAAAGGAGTTTTCTCACTTATGAGTTTATAATACAATTTTCTCTTTTCAGATGCACTTAAATCCAAGAAAGAATTTTTTTCAACCATCAGAGTTACTCTCTATTGTACTAGATAGAGATAGGTATGCTAAGCCATGGTTTAGAAGTTCTCAAGTATAGAATTATCTATCAGGAAGACAACCAAAATTCTTGGGTACACGTTGCCAAGTACTATGCTATGCACCCCATATCATCTCCTGTAGGCTTCCTAGAGTCCCATCCCACAGGTTGGGATAAGACAGTGGACACAGACATGCAGTAGTGTGATGTGCTTTGCTTCTGACATTAGCAAGTGAACATCTGGAAAGACAGAAGTTGGTCAGTCTGTCCATCCCCCTTCAGTCTCTCTCTTACACCTGTCCTTAGACAACAAAGAAAACAGAAGATGCACATTCTTTAGGATTGTGGGTCAATAAATAAATTGTGGGTCATGCACTTAGTAAAACCCAAACCTACCATCAAAAATGACTGTGATCCATGTGCCCCCCGCAAGGCTACCTTCTTCAGGCTCAATACGTAAACTCAGGCGAGGTCCTGTAAGGAAGTGAGAAAAACACTGGATTTGAAGGTCAGATTCTATCCCTTGCTTTCCCAATATTTTAAAGCAAAAAATAGCATGCATTAGAATCACCAGAGGGCCTGATAAAGCACAGATGACTGGGCCCAACCCCAGAGTTTTTGGTTCTGTAGGTCTGAGAAGGGGCCCGCAAATTTCCATTTTTAACCAGATGATGCTGTTCTGGGAAACATACTTCTGAACCCTGTTTTAAGGAAAATTCTGACTGATCTCACTCATCTTAGACATCCAAAAACTCAGTGTTCACCAGGACAATCCTGAATTTCTGCTCCTTTTGGAAAGAGCCTCAGAGACATATTTTGCTCCCAACTGAACCCATACTATCTCCCCTCCCTTCCCCACTCTTTGGTCAAGTGCCCATATTTAATTGTAAAGGTTGCCACTTAGTTCTTTTATGTGCACTTTCTAGACAGGAGGGAAAAGTCCCTTCTGCAAGCTATCCCTACTTCAATTCTCCTGCTTCATATACTGTCTCTCCTAGTTTCCTCTTCTAAATACATGATCAGAATGACTCCCCAAATAGATACAAAATTCCCTAGATTTTTGCCTTGTCTGCTCAGAGAGGGGTTGCAGCATGGCTCATTGCTGGAATTTCATTTAATAAAAAATATCAGGGCTGGACAATTAGCTCAGTTGATTAGAGTGTGGGGTTATAACACCAAAGTCAGGAGTTTGGATCCCCTTACCAGCCAGCCACCAAAAAAATAAATAAATCACATAATAAATCATGTTTATCTTTTTTAAAAAGTCAGTATGGACTTCACATGCTAGACTAGATTGGGTCCTCTTCTATAAGCCATCAGCCAAGCATGACCTTAATCAATCCCTCCATCTTTGAAGATATTCCTGGACATGACTTGGCAAAGTAAAGCCACTTCAAAGAAGCCAGCAAAAATCAATCAGCTCCTCAGTGAGGTAATAAGCAAGGAAAGTGTTATCAACAGAACAATTATTTATTTACATCAAAACTTAGATAATTCAGGCCATGCTAACTGTGGCTAGCCCAGGGCTTCCATGTATAGTTATGCAGGATGTGCTCTGCACACCAGACAGTGAAGAACCATCCACATCAACACAATCATCCATGGCAGCCCCAGCCAGACCAGACCACCCCTACCCCTCAAAGATGATAAGGTACTTTTATCTAAAGACCAAGAAACAAATGCCATGAAAAAATATAGAGAGGATAACCAAATTCACAGAGAAAATTGAAGACATGATTTGAGAAGATTGGAGATTGGAGACATGATTTGAGAAGATTGGAGATTGTAATACAAGTACTCATTAATCACTACAGCAAGGTAAGTTACTCTCTTTAGGAAGGTAGAAAAGAATTACATTATATAGCCCCAAAAGGAATTATACAAAAAAAAGTTACAAGTTATTAAAAGTTCTGAACTATAACAGCAAACTCCACTGGCAATTAAAAATTGAAATATCGGGCCAACCCCGTGGCTCACTCGGGAGAGTGCGGCTCTGGGAGCACAGCAGCGCTCCTGCTGTGGGTTCGGATCCTATATAGGGATGGCCAGTGCACTCACTGGCTGAGCGTGGTGCGGGCAACACCAAGCCAAGGGTTACAATCCCCTTACTGGTCACACAAACAAAAGAAAAAAAATTGAAATATCAATTCATAACAATTTAGTATATAACCTTAGCTATCAAACAGAAAAATTTATTAAACAAAAAATATTCAAGGATGCCCACTCTCACCACTCCTACTCAACATAGTGTTGGAAGTACTAGACAGAGCAATCAGAGAAGAGAAGGAAATAAAGGGCATCCAGATTAGAAAAGATGAAGTCAAACTGTCCCTGTTTGCAGATGATATAATCCTATATATCAAACACCTTAAAGCCTCTACAAAAAAACTCTTAGAGTTGATAAATGATTTCAGCAAAGTTGCAGGATACAAAATCAACACAAAAAATCAGTAGCATTTCTATACTCTGACAGTGAACATGCAGAAGAAGAAATCAAGAAAGCTTGCCCACTTACAATAGCTACCAAAAAAATAAAATATTTAGGAATAGAGTTAACCAAGGATGTGAAAAATCTCTATGAAGAGAAATACAAACCACTGCTGAGAGAAATTAGAGAGGATACAAGAAGATGGAAAGATATCCCATGTTCTTGGATTGGAAGAATTAACATTGTGAAAATGTCCATATTACCCAAAGTGATCTACAGATTCAATGCAATCCCCATCAAAATTCCAATGACATTTTCCTCAGACATGGAAAAAACTATCCAGACATTTATATGGAATAACAAAAAAACACAAATAACCAAAGCAATCCTAAGCAAAAAAAATAAATAAATAAAGCTAGAAGCATAACACTACCTGACTTTAAACTATATTACAAAGCTATAATAACCAAAACAGCATGGTACATGCCTAAAAACAGACACACAGATCAATGGAATAGAATAGAGAACCCAGAAATCAACCCATACACCTACAGCCATCTGATCTTTGACTAAGGCACCAGTCTACACATTGGGGAAGAGACTTCCTCTTCAGCAAATGGTGCTAGGAAATCCTGAAACAATAAAACTGCTTGAAAAAAAAATAGGGGAAACACTCCAGAAAGTAGGAGTGGGTACAGACTTCATGAATAGGACCCAAAAAGCACAGGAAACTATAGGAAAAATAAACAAATGGGATTATATCAAACTAAAAAAGTGAAAAGACAACCAACAGAGTGGGAGAAAATATTTGCAAAATATACATCTGACAAAGGATTAATATCCAGAATATACAGGAACTCAAACAACTTTACAGTAAAAAAACAACCCAATTTTAAAATGGGCAAAGGAGCTGAATTGGCATTTCTCTAAGGAAGATATATGAATGGCCAACAGACACATGAAAAAATGCTCAACATCACTTGGCATTCGGGAAATGCAAATCAAAACCACTTTGAGATACCATCTCACTCAAGTTAGGATGGCTAATATCCAACAAAGTGGGAATGATAAATGCTGACAAGGTTGTGGAGGAAAAGGAACTCTCATACACTGTCGGTGGGACTGCAAAATGGTGCAGCCTTTATGGAATACGGTATGGAGTTTCCTCAAACAATTACTGATAGATCTACCATATGACCCAGTGATTCCACTGCTGGGAATATACCCAGCGGAATGGAAATCATTATGTCGAAGGGATACCTTACTCGCATGTTTATTGTAGCACTATTTACAATAGCTGAGAGTTGGAACCAGCCCACATGTCCATCATCAGATGAGTGGATAAGGAAACCGTGGTATATCTACACAATGGAATACTACTCTGCTATAAAAAAGAATGAAATACTACCATTCACAACAACATGGATGGACCTAGAGAAAATTATACTAAGTGAAACAAGTCAGGCACAGAAAGAGAAATGCCACATGTTCTCACTTATTTGTGGGAGCTAAAAATAAATAAATAAATATACCAACAAATAAATGGTAGGGTGGGAGAAGACACAATGATCACAACAATTCCTTGAACTTGTTAAGACAAGTGAACAGATATGAGGTAGTTGGGGGCAGGGAGAGTGAGAGGGGGGGAAAGAGGAATGGGTAAGGGGACATGAAAATCAACTACAATGTATATTGAGAAGTTAAAATAAAAGAAAAAGAAAATTTAAGGCCAGAAGCAGATACCTCAACACCTCCTCCCAAAATGATATTTTTTAAATTTATTTTTTCAATTGACAAATACAAATTATATATATTTATGGTGACAACCAAAATAATATTTTAAGTATAAATAAGAGTTTTCAAGATAACTTAGTATGTTCTTATCTATAATCCCTTCAGAACACATTCTACTCACCTGCCAAAAGTAGTACTTCAATACTTATCAGAGAGATGAGCCAGACATTCATCTTGTTCACTTAAATCAATCCTCTCAAGATTGCTCAGATATTAAAAGCATTTTCAATTTTGATTGGAGCAGCATAGCTTTTGTGCTTTATAAAAAAGTAAAGTAAAAAATTACTATCATTTTTGCTTACATACTCTTATTTTGCAATACTGAAACTTGGGAAATTAAGGAAATGATATAACTATGCCCCTAGTGTCTTCAAAGGGACCTACCATATTTTCAAGCTTGGGAGAAATCACCACTCTGCCCACCTTGTATCACCAGCTTATTTTATGCATGTTTAAGTGGGTAAATCAGAATAACCTCTTTCATTTATTCATTATTGAACAAAAGCTGAATTTTTACAAATAAATTCTAGATATCAAAATTCTGTTTATGTGGGGGGAAGGATCTGTTTTGTTTTGTTTTGCTTCTGGAAGAGTCTCTGCCCTCAGGAACCTCAGGAATAAAGTAAAAAGCTTAACAAGGTGAATGCTAAGTATGGTTATGGACTGAGAAAATGGTACCTAAGAAGAATTTGGGGAAAATTGTCTTATCCTCACAGCAGAGGAGGAAGGGAGGAAAGAAACAGAAGAAGGAAGAGCAGGACCCTCCAGACTGGACCCTAGGACTCCAGGGTCTCTCTAGCCCACCCCACGATGCCCACCTCTGCCAGCCTCATCTTCCTTAAGCACAGCTTCATTGTGCCATTCTCTGTTTAAAGAGAACTCAATGCAGAAGCTCCATCACTTGTAAAATGATGGTAAGAACTTTCCTCTTAGTATCTTTATCAAGATTAAATGAGATGATGTATACAAAGAAATTAACACAGAGCTTGGCCCAAAGGAAACAGCCACAAATGTTAGATTTCCTTTCACAGGCTCTCTATCTCTGACAAACCCAACGTAAAATCATCTGTCTGTCTTTTCAGTCACTCCAAGACCTGTCCCCAGCCTACCATTCCAGCTTTTCCTCACGTTGCTGTCCTCACTACCACTCAAGAGAAGCCCCCCCACACATCAGCCTCTGATCTGGCTCCTGCTGGTCCCTTGCTGGATTCCTCAAACTCTCTCTGTGGCCTAATGAGATCCATGGCCTTCCTG